AAAAAATAATTAAGAACAAAAAAAATTGTATTAAATTAATACTGATTTTGATTTTTAATATGTTAAAGGTAATCATTTTGAACCTATTTTTTATTGTCTTTTAAAGTGAAAGTTTTAATGAAAAATACCTTCTCAGCTTCGCATCGAAGCTAATAAAATAATGATAAGATCTTAAATTTTCAAAGATTTGATTTTTATTAAGGTTATTAAGGAATAACCCTTTATATATGTGTAGAATTAAAACAGATAAAACTTTTTACTTTTCAAAAAACCTATATTTTAAATAAAGAATATTTACTATTTGTATTACATTGTTCTAATATTATACTATTGTCTATTTTATTAAATCAACTGTTAAGATAACCTTAAAAAAAATGATATAAATTTATATATATATATATGCATATTACATTGTTGTATAAAAGGTCTCTAGGTTTAGCAGTTCCACCTCGTGTTAGATTTTTACAAAAATGGAAAAAATCAAAGGAAGCTAAAATTATAGCCAAGGAGTCTGAAGATCTAACTTTGAATAATGACCTAAGAAATAAACTTAATAAAACATCTGATTACGAAAATTCAGAGGATGAACCTGAGTCAGATCACTCATATCGAAAAGATTCTTATAAATTTCATGACGGTAAATTTTATTTGCTTTAGTAAAGTTTAGTTTAAAATGAACTATAATATATTCAATGCTAAAATATTTTATATGTCATTAATTCATTAAAATAATGAGAATATATTTCAATTTATATAATTAAAAAAAACCATTACAGTTGTGTAACAACTTAGTAAGGACGCATCATAGATTTATTATAAATTAATATCTAATAGTGATTGGAATCACAAAAGTATTTACACAATTGTACTTAAGTAAATTTTATTTCTAACCTTTTATAGTTCATTATAATTGAAATTTTAATTTATTCTTAATTCTTACTATAAATACTATTTATAATAATGTTATATCTCTTTGGATAGAGGAAACACTCTCCCATTAAAATCTGCAAAAACCTTCCCTAATATTTGATAATTAACAATTAAATAATATTTAATATAGAGAAGCTATTTAAAAAAATGGAGGGTACTAATACCAGTCTTTATGTCTACTTTGTGGGTAAAATTACAGATACCAATAATCTAAAAAAAAAAAATGTATGTAAAAAATAATAACAATATAAAAATATCATTTTTTGTTTAACTTTGAAGACTATTTATATAAAGAAGACATGTCATCTGAAATTTTTTTGTTAAACTTATATTTTATATGAACATTTGATATATATGTATTTAAAATTGCAAGATTTTTGAAACATTTTTAAAAGTTAAGTTGAAAAAGTTCATTTTTTATACAAAAGTTTCTATTTTAATCTCTTTTGGGCAGGTGAAGGGTCAGATTTTAAAAAAATTATGTTTAATAAACAATATATTTAAGATGCCTAAAAAATTTGGTTTAATAATTAATTTTCAAAAAAGTTTTTTTTGGGGGGGGGGGTCCACCATAAATAGAAAATTAGGAAAATTATTTTTTAATTGTGGGGGTATTGTCTTCAATTAGATAAAATTTGTGATCTTTAGTGCAACATCAGTCTAATAAGATCTGAGAAAAAATCATAAAACATTATAAAATGATTAGCGCTTCATCTAGGCTAAAAGATTAATTATAAAGTGTTAACTGTTTTTTATTATTATCATATTTTTTCTATTCCTTATTTATAAAGTGTTAATATTTTATTTAAATAATTTTTATTTGAATTAATGAAATTAAATAATAAACGTTATTTAATTTCATCAAATATTATAAATTAATATTACTTACATACATCTATCTTGTTGTGCCATAATGTCCAAAAGTTAAATAATTCATTTTGATATTTTAAACATTAAAATTAATAATACATTTCCTAATTTTTTTTTTTTTCAGATGGTATTAGTGATGAAGAAAATGATGATCTTCTTACTATAAAACGTAAAGATCATAATATTCCCGATAACAATGATGATATTCAAGAAAACAGTAATAATGAAGAACAAATTTATGGGGATTTTAATAAGAAAAATAAAAAGCCATTAACTAAAGCTGCATTGGCTAAAAAAATGATAAAAAAAAAAATTAAACCAAATCAAAAAACAGTATTTGATGAAATAGGAGAGGTATTATTTTTAAATGATTTTTTTTATACCACAAAAATTATATTAAATCATATTTACAGGTTGTCTTGGATAAAACTAAAACAAAAGTGTCAGATCTTGCTAGAGAGTATGAAAATAGTTATGATATTGGAGGTATTGATATCGAAAAAGCAAAACAAATCTTAAGAGAGGAAGATAAATTTGACAAACAGCTTTTCCGAGAAAAGGTAAAAGCCAAACATAGAGAACAAAAAAGAAAAGCTAAAGAAGCTAAAAGAGCAGAAATGGAAGATGCAAGTTCAGATGATGATGTATCTGTTGACTTATCTTGGTTACCAGACCCTGATAAGGTGTATGGAAAAAATAATAACAGTGAATTAGATAATGATTCTCAACCAGAATCAAATTCTAATTATGAAGATGAAGATGATGACGATGAGGATGAAAAAGATGAAGAGTTGTCTCAAATTCATAAGTAAATAGAAGATAAATAATTAATAAGTATTTTTCCTAAACTTTCATTATTTTGTTTTAATATGTTTTTTTATTTAAATTTAGGCCGACTAAAAGAAAACTATTAATTTCAAATTCAAATAAAAAACGTAAAAAGTTAAATGAAATTGAAGATGAGCCAGTTGATACTGGTTTAAGTTTAGTGGAAGATGAAGAATTAGCATTACAAATGTTAGATACATAATTTATGTATTATTTTTATTTAATTAAATTCATTTTTGTTATTGTTTCTTAAATATTAACATTATAATAAATTAATTGAACTATTTTTATAATATTGTACTTCTTCTGTCAATTAATTATCAATAAATAAAAAATCGATTGATCTATTTTAAGAATAGATCTATACATTCTAAGAACTTTCCCAGATTTCAGTTAATAATAAAATTAAATTAAAAACTTTTTAATCGAATAACATCAGGTTATTTTGTTTTATTGTATATGGCTTTAGTATAAATGATTTAATAGTACTTTATAAAAACAGATAGATAATGAATTAAAATACACAGATTAAGCAACAATTATATGATGAAAAAAAACCCAGCACAGGGGGGTCGCGGCACAGTGGTGACGTGGCATAGTTGGATCAAGTATAAAGATATCTGACAGTGATTAAAATCACTATAAAAAAAAAACGCTTCGATGCAAATCTTTAGATAGTGTTTAATTTTAAAAAATTGGTGGATTATTCCAAAAGCTTCATAAACTGCTAGTTCCTTATTAATATCCTGATTAAGATAAAGTATGTCGAATGAAAAAGGGATTATTAAAAAATAGTATTTCCCATAAAAAAATTATATTGATCAATACACTTTTCAATAAGTTATAGCATTATAAAGTTAAAAATGTAAAAAATAAAATTGAGAATTTTCACACAATAATAGCATTTGGTAGCCATTTTCACCTTGAAGATAAAATAAAGTCCGAAATTTTTTTTTTCCATGATAAAGTATATTACATTAGCTTTAATTTAAGATATATATAAAAGTGTCAGACCTTCCGGAACATTTTCAAAATTTAAGTTAAAAAAATTAATTTTTTGTGAAAAAGTTGTCATTTTAAATCCCCCCTTGTGGGCAGGTTAAGGGTGAAATTTATGAAAAAAATATACCAAATGAAAGGTAATGATATTATGCATCTGTATAAAAAA